GTTTTCGCCATGTCAACAAGTGTATCCAAACAAACGTGTTCCTCTTTCTTCGGATCCCAGCCCGGCATTCAGGACACCAATAGACACAAAGTTAGAAGTGAAAGCCAGCATTCCTATCGAGCAATTCATCGCGTGGCCTTATCTCATCTATTTCCATCCACACCCAGGTCGCGCAAACGCACGTCGCGGGAGTCAGTGTGCTGGCATGCGCAACACCTCGACCAGCCATTGAAGACTAGTGCGTGATATAATGGTGCTGGGCGGTTTACTCGCTTTTCCTGCACCAAATAAAAGACGTTGAACAAGCACATTGCTAACCCTGTGTTCCCACCAGCATAGGATAAGCTGTGAAAGCAGTGACATAACGAAACAGGGTTGAAGAGAACGCTATATTGCAAGCTCTGCTCTTCATGGCGTGTTATGCCGCGTCAACGCCACAAGTGGCGGAGATTGGCAAAGGCGCCTCGAGATTTGCCCATACGGTATTTGACCTCATATACTATTACACATATAAGGCCGGCGTTGGTTTGCCCTCAGCAAACGTGCTAAAGGCAATCTCCTAGACGGGATACCGGTGAACAGCCGCAGGAGTGCAGTTTGACTTCGAACCTCCAATGAAATTAATAAGCATCGTCTGAAGACAAAATGCTGTTCATCGCCTCAGTTTATGCCATTATTGAATGTAGTTCAGAGTGTATCAAAGACGATTTCCATCAACAGCTCTCATCTCTTCTTCGCATGGCGGAGAATACTCACATCTTGATTGCTGCTGGTGACATGAATGCCTAAGTGGGGTGTCTTCCATGCTCTGTATAGCACCTGGGAAGCCGAGTCAATACACGCCGAACAGACAATGGTGATCGATTCATGCAAATGTGCGCCGGCCACAGCCTTTATCTTAGCAGCACCGCTTTCTAGCACAAACCTTCACACTGCCTCACCTGGCGCCCACCGAATTCATCAATAACTTGGACGCAAATTGAGAATATCATCATAAGCTACATACGGAGCTCATCAGTCCACGACTGTTGGTCAATTTGGTGCACCTACCTGGATTCTGACCATGCTCTAGTGCGTACACGCTCGACCCTCACTCTCTCTGCTTCAAACAATCATCTGTCTTCTAAACTTCTTACTTGAAACTTGTACACGTAATCTGTCTTCCATAAATATCATCACGAACTCGCCCACCAATTGGCAGCAATGAATGTGGTTAATGAGCCGAACGCTGACTAGGATCATCTCAAATGTGCCATGAAGAATACCCTTTACGCATGCTGTACACACAACTTACGACGTCGTAACTGTTAATGGATATCTAGAGCATCGATCAGCTTAATGGAAGCACAGAAGCAATACGCGCTGAGTTTCAGCGTGTATTAACGCCCTGAAACGACGTCTTACAAAGAGTTCGCATCGACTGGGAACGTTGGTGGGTGGAAGGGCCCATGAGACGGAGAAATCTAGTGCTATTGGGAATAGCCAAGTTCTATTCCAGATCATCCGGAACAACAGTCTGAAAAGTCCATCGGTTACTGAGACCATACCTGAGAAAGACGAAGAGTTGATCCATTCTCATTGTCGTCGGCTAGTCCGTTGGGGGGAACATTTTGAAGGACAGTTCAGCAGGCCTGCAGCGACACTGCCGCTTTCCGAATCGCCTGAGCTGACGTGGGAAGTAGATGTCACACCTCCCACTTTAGAAGGGATTGGCTATAAGTTTTCCATGTTAAAACGAAACAAATCTCCTCGACGTCCTTTCTCCATCTTTGCTGGAAGACGGAGGTGACTCTTTATTTACTGGACTTGCTTCTCTAGTTAACATAATTTGGAACACTGAAGTGTCTTCCGACTGGCAACTGTAAACTGTCGTGTCCATCTTCAAAAACTCAACCTCCATACTTCTCACAGCAATTATTCTCCGACTAGTTACCGGTCCCCTTGAGAACCGAATCACTAATAGCCAGACTGGCTTCTGCCCTGGCCGTGGATGTATCAAACACATATTTACCCTTCACAACATTTTAGAGCAAAGACACATACAGATGACCATAGTGATGTTTCTTGACCGGAAACGCGCCTTTGACTCTATAGACCGTACCAGCTCATGGCACTGCATATCCATCTCCCTCGGCCTGGGTAACTGGGAAGGCCTCTGCCCACATAACACATAAACCTTCTAAACCCTTCCACTGACTCCCTGTTTTCCATTTTTGTTGTTGTTAACCATATGTTGTAGCACTCCGGATTGTATATTGGTTAAGTGTTGAATATTAATAATAGAATACTGCTTATCCATGAAGAGCATGCCAGCTAAATTCCTTTCCATTGTGCAGTCTCTACCGTGCATCCCGACGCCGTCTAACAGTCTACGGGATTCTGTTTCCTGCATTCCACACGACAAGATCGGTTCGCCAGGGTTTCCCTTTTCTCTTCAGCCACGCGATCGAGATGATCATAAGTTACTCCGTTCTTTCAGACTCTACAGGAGTGGAAGTTTTGCTAAGTGACCGACTGACAAACTTGGAGTATGCGGACGACAGCTCTTCTTGCGTCTGACGCATTTGCTATGCAATCACTGTTGGATAGACTGACCCGTAGCTTTGCACGCTTCGGCATGTGTTTTGCACCTTCATAATGCAAAGTACTGTTGTAGGACTGGAGTGACACACCTCGGGTTCTAGCTACCAGCTAGCAGCCATTGGAAGTGATGAATTGCTTCACTTACCTTGGTAGCTACCTCACGTCTGGTGGTCACATTACCGAGGCAGTTACTTCGTGTATCAGCAAGGCCCGTGTGGCTTTCCACAGACTCAACTATCTACGGTGACGGCGGGATACCCACCTGTCGGTAAAAGGTAGGACGTATAACGCTGCGGTATGGCCTGTATTACTGTATGGATCAGGGACCTGGCTAGTTCACGACGAAGACATTAAATGCTTAGCCGTGTTTGATCACCAGTGCTTGCGGTGTATTGCTCGGCCTGGGTAAGCGGGAAGACCTCTGCCCACACAACACATAAACTTTATAAACCATTCCACTGACTCCCCGTTTTCCCCTTTTTGTTGTTGTTAACCATGTGTTGTAGCACTGCCGATGGTATATTGGTCAAGTGTTGAATAGTAATAATAGAATACTGCTTATCCATGAAGAGCGTACCAGCTAAATTCCTGTCCATTCTGAAGTCACTCTACTGTGATTCCCAAGAGCGTGTAAGGGTTAACGGGAAGATGTCTCCTGAGTTCCCCCCGACAAATGGGGTACCCGGTTCTCTCGGACTCCACCGCAGTGGAAGTTCCGCCAGGAGACCTACTGAGAAACCTGGAGTATGCGGACGATACAAGTTTCCTTGGGTCTGATGCAGTGAATATGAAAACATTACTGGATAGACCGACGCGTAGCGTTGCATGCTTCAGGATGTACTTTGCGCCTTTAAAGTGAGAAGTACTGTTGCAGAACTGGGCCGACATATTTATTTTAGCTATCGCTGAACAGCCACTGGAAGTGGTGGATCGGTTCACATACTTTGATAGCTGTATCACATCTGGTGGTCACATCACTGAGGAAGTTATTTCGCGTAACAACAAGGCCCGCGTGGCTTTCCAGAGACAGCCATTCACGGAGACGGCGGGATAACAGCCTGTCTGTGAAAGGCAGGGTGTATAACGCAGCGGTATGGCCTGTATTACTGTATGGATCAGGGACCTGGCTAGTTCACGACGAAGACATTAAATGCTTAGCCGTGTTTGATCACCAGTGCTTGCGGTGTATTGCTCACATCCGGCGGGAACACCGGGTGTACAATGATTAGGTCCGGGAGTTGATTTGTGATAAGAAGTCTTTTATTGCTTCAGTCGAGTATTCAGTGAATCTTAATCGCTTAAGTTGGCTGAGTTATGTCATCCGTAAACCCGTTGACAGGCTTCCTCGGTGGGTATTATATGCCGTGGCTGCACCAAGTTGGGCGAAACTGCGAGATGGTCAGTCAATGACGTGGCGTAGATAAACGAAGAAACTGACGGAGAGTTGTTCAGGAAGGAGAATGTCGTCTTAATGGAAGGGGGACGCGGGATGGTCCACACCAGTGGTTGGAGACCGTATAATACATGGCGCAGTCAAAGTCGCGTTCCTGCATTCGGTTTCTTGCAATCTGGCTGGTAATTTTCGTTCCGTTCTGAGTAGTCTAAAGCATCTCCTTCTTGCTTCCAGTTTCTTTACACTCCATTTGCATTCAACTCCATTATCTTGCCGTTACTATTTATCGTTATACTTGCGATGTGAGTCGTGGCAACTGGATGCACCGCACTTCGCCGCTCTGATCAGTTGTGCAACGGAACTGAACTGAACCGTTAAGCGACCAATTTGTGCGCATGCAATTGTCCAGGTGAGACGAAATTCTGTCACAATTCGATAACTCAAAAGATCCTGAATGTAGCTTTGCATATGTAGTAATGAGTTTTGACACTTTAGAAGCGATTTGCGCTAAAGGAAGAAAGTATTTGAGACTATGCATTTAGGAGATGGATTAAGGTAGCGGTGAATAATTTTTTGAATTGTCGAATGCGGTATTGTTATGATGAGCAGTATGAAACCACCCGAATAACACGAGTGAGGAAAAATCTCCGCTGGAGTAACAGTTCGAGTGCCCTGAGTGACCGCCTTATATGCCCCTGACCGTCCCAGTTAGACAAATTTGGCACGAATTTTAACAAGCAGAAAATTTTGCAGAGTGCATCATTAACATATATCGGGGGTGCACTTTATGTCTGCAAATATCATCAACAATGAATCGAAATTAATTCCCAAACCGTAAGTACACAAAACCGAAGCCGTAACGCTAAGTGGAAAATCTTTTGAGTGGCCGACAGCCAGTGGCACGAAAACGATTACTCAGCAGCAATCTATTGGCCCCTCGCGCTGATTAAAAGTGAGAGATTTTATTAAAAAGCGGACTTATAGGTAAAGACCGGAGGTGCTAATGATGCATAATAATATTTACCAACACATCCGAATGTGTAACGTCATTTCCTTCCTTCGTTTTGCTTCTGTCAGTGACCAGAAACGCCCAAGTGGGGACGACTAGCCAGCAGGGAAGTCCGTTGCTTCGACATTCCATCAACCAATCCCACGTACAGTTATCGGACATTCTGAGTGCGCCTATGTCGTCTCAGACCCATTTGAAAAAGGAACAAGGAAGCGTTTATTGCATATATCTCAGAAGGATGCGTTACAGTTTGTTCTGAGGGTCCATCGAGTGAAAGAGAAATGTCTCATCTGGTATAACCTCGAGTGTCCAACAGAAATAGAGATACGCCAACAGAAGTGCTAACTACCCGGAAGTCGTCTTTAACAGCAGTAAAAATAATGAAAAGCGAAAAAACTCAATTAGTACGTCTGACTTCCTGCAAACTATGAGTTAAGGGGGCAGATCGGAAATAAATGCGACTGACCAAGTTGAAACTTAAACTGGAATGGAACGACAGGAGAATCCCGTGGGTGTTCCATTTTAAGAAAATCGTTGAGCCAGGAATCGACAAGTATTCTAAGTTCTTAATGGATCAAAAACGAAACAACCGAACTGCGCCATGGTAACCCAAGAACTGCTCACGTTTCCTACACTAGCAGACCTTGTCGTGTCGGCCACGTGAGAAAAATATAGGGATAAAATGAAATATTGGGAAAAAAGAAAGCCGTTTAATTGAAGAATAATATCTAGGAGTTAAGTAAGGCACAGAATGTATAATTAAAGTACGGAGATAGACATATTCATGAGAAAAGAAAGGTTTCATGTTGTCACCTAAGAGCATCCAGCTGACACTCAAAACGCCTAACCGTGTACCGCTGGCCCGGATTCCCTCCCACCTGCACTATTTAAGGATGGAGGTGAGGTCCTCTGCAGGGCACTGACTTCCCTATTCGAACGTATCTGGAAGGAAGAGTGTCCCGGCTAATTGGAGCGAATCGATTATAGTGGAAATATACAAAAAGGGCAGTCGCACAGACTGTGCGAACCACAGGGGTATTAGCCTAACGCCAGTTGTGACAAAATTACTGGCCTCGATTATCGTTCGTCGCCTCACGGCTGAACGGGAATCTCAAATTAGGGACGAGCAGGCCGGTTTCCGCCCAGGACGTGGCTGTATAGACCATATATTTACTTTGCGGCAGGTGCTAGAGCAGCGCTACGCTTACCGCAGACCGACAATAACTGTGTTCCTCGATTTCAAGAGTGCGTTCGATTCGGTCGATCGATCGATTCTGTTCGTATTACTTGCGCGAAAAGGTGTTCCCACGAAACATGTGAACATCCTTCGTGCTCTATACTCAAACATTACAGGCCGCGTCAGGGTCTATGGTGTCCTATCGGATAGCTTTTCGACTACAAGTGGCGTTCGTCAGGGTTGTCCGATTTCCCTATTTCTGTTCAATTTCGTCGTGGATTCTATCATGGAGTGTTCCCTGACGGAATCCAACGATGTAGGCGTTGAAGTGCTGCGTGGTGAAAGGTTAATTAATCTATATTATGCAGACGATATCATCTTGCTTTTCGACGATGTTGGCGCAGCACAATCAACCCTGAATAGCCTGTCCAGAGTGGTCCCATTATTTGGTATGCACTTCGCACCTTCAAAGTGCAAAGCATTGCTGCAGGACCACCAGCCACTTGATGATAACTTGACGTTTGCTAACGAGGAACTCGAGGTGGTTGATCAATTCACTTATCTTGGCAGTTGCATCAGCACTGATGGGCGCATAGAAACTGACGTGAGCAAAGGGAAATCAAGCGCACACAATGCGGTGGCTGGACCGTAGTCCACTCCACACTGACTGCATGGAACCACTCTTCGAGACTAACACGGCCACAAGGACCGTGCACCCTGTCCCATCCAGCAACGACCAACTGTCTCCTGGAGCCAGCATGGACGAGGTAGTGGGTAATAGACAGGTAGGCACCTTGTCAACATGCACATCAAGAGCAGTCACGCCGGGGACATCAAGCAACAGCCAACCATTTAAGAAAAAAATAACAAAGAAAATAAATCGAGTAATGCATAAGGAAAAGTGACAAATTCTTAAATTAATCAGCAATGAAAAAAGTTGTAAACAAAGGATCCGAGATAAGTTCACGAGGTCAGAAAGTATATTTTGCGGAGATGACACAAACACGAAAATGTTATCGTCATTAACTAAAATTGGATTAAACGAAGTGTGCAAGTTTCGAGAAGAGCGTACAGGTAGACTTTATACGAGAAAGCAAAGCATCAGGACAAAATTGAAAAACCACCACCTGAAATAAAGAGGATAAACATGCAAGCACGCGGTTAGCAAATCGAATGCAGCGTACGTACAAACGCTGCGCCGGTTCTGCCTACGTTCTATGGCGTCCCCGCCGTCGCTTCGGTAGTGGTCCTGAGTGGCCTCGCTCCTGGCTCACTAGACCTTCCTGACTCAGGCACTCGCGACCGCATGTGCTACAGCACCATGCGCTCGATGTCGATGGAGTACAACCCATCTATGCTTGCCGCTTCCGCAATTGCCGCTTCTTCTCTCCATGTTTGAGATCAATCTCCCGCATCTCTGCAACGAAACTCATGATTAGATCGAATCATGCACGCCGATCAACCACTTTCAATTCCTATGACCTGCAGTCAAGATTACAACGTGACAGTCTCACTTGAATCATGTCCTAGTAACGTAACTTCGGTTTCGCCATGTGCCGCATCCCAATACTCAGCTGACCATAAAAGACTTTTTTCAACATCTGCGTCGAATCCATACGGCTCATATGACCGAGCCACCTCAGGTGTCTCGGCATAAGTATGCAGTCCACTGCATACATTCCACTTTGACGCAGTACTTCTTGTTCGGAACTCTGTCACCCCAACCGACGCGCAAAATCCGTCGCAAACAATGTTGTTGGAGCTGCTCGAGATGTCTCACATCTCGCCGGTACATCGTCCAAGTTTCACAACCGTATAGAAGAACGGACAGCACCATGGGTTTCTACACCATCAGCTTCGTGCCAGCGGCAAACTGATGGTTGTTCCACACTCGGTACGGCGCTCCACACGAACTCAGTAAGCACAAGTGGCATCAAAGGCACAAGACCTCATGATATGAAGAAAAATATTAAACAGGGCAGGAGCTAAGACACAGCTTTGCTTCACACCGGTGACAACTGCAAAGTCATCCGAAGCCTTTCCACTCAGCTGCACCCTCCATCGCATACCAATGGGCAGATATCCAATTAAAATTACAATTTTACTCGGACAACCAAACTTACCCAATACCAGCCAAAATGTCTCGCGGTACGCCGTATCAAATGCCTTGGTGAAATCAACAAAAAGCGATCATAACGGTTGGTGTCATTCTCTACACTTCTCCTGTAACTGACGAGCCGCAAACACCATACCTATAGTGCTGCGACCCGAACGGAATCCACATTGCTCTTCCGCCGAGTTCGGTTCCACAAGCTGACTGACGAGGCAGTTGAGCATGGTTCGGTTAATCACCTATCGAACACAACTCAGCAAGTTGATGCTACAATAACTCGTACAACATTGTTTGCTACCTTTGCCCCTCTACAGTGGTAGCACAAGGGCATCCTTCAGCTCAGGAGGCACCTCCTCAATGCATACACGTTGCACCAAGTGGTGCAACGCAGTTACCAACGCGGATCCGCCGTGTTTCAATACTTCAGGCTGGATCCTGTCGGCACCGGCACATTTGCCTTTTCGCAGCTGAGGAAGTGCTGTCTGCGTCTCGTACAATTTCGGTGTGTCCGCCAGACTCCTCTTCACATCGTGCTGCTTCAGGCCGTTCAATATAGGCCAGTCGATCTCTGAACGGTTGTTGTTCAAGAGACATTCAGTGACAGTGATTTCGCCAGATCTGCATTATGTCTGCAGTCTGTGTGCAGGCAACGCCTGTGTTACCGTCGATCAGGCTCTTTAGCGGCTCCAATCTCGGTCCATACACCACCTTTAAAGAGTCAAGGAATTCCTTTGCGTTGGCCGCGATCGCCGTAGTATTACATCTGCTTCGTCTTCTCCATCCACCATGCATTTTTAATGCGAAGGAGCTCTCGGGTCAGTTACCGTCGAAGTTTGCGAAATTGTCTATGCTTCCCCAAGTTACTGCGGTCTGCCACATGTGCAGCAAAGTTGCATTCTTCTCCGATACCAATGCACCAATCGCTGCATTGTTCGCATCAAAGCAAAAAGGCCGCTTATAGTTTGCGCACGCGATGGTCTCCTCGGCAGCAGCTGTCACCTGGTCGCGAATGTGGTGCTACAGGTCGTTCACTGTGGCTATGCAGTCCACATAACACAGATGTACAACCATCACCTGTTACATCTCAATACGTTTTGCTACAGTACCGAGGGAGAGAATGTTAAATCTACGCCGATTCACGGCAGGAGCGCAACACAATGATTTACGAAAATATATGTACAGTTTGCTCCGCATCAATTTGTGGTCAGTGCCACACTCAGCTCCACGCAGTACACGTGTCATGCGCACTTCACGCATATCACGCTGACGTACGATGACATAGTAGAGGAGGTGGGCGTGACCAATCCGTAAGTGCGTCCAAGTTGCTATATCACTCGCACTCAGCGCAAACCGAGTGGCCGTGATCGTCAGGCCGTGAGTGGCACACAGTGAGAGTAGCCTGTCACCGTTCGCAGTCGCTGAACGAATGTCATGCAGATCGATAACATCTGTCCACACCGATGCATGTCGCCCAACGCACGCGTTGAAGTCACCAAGCACAAATAGCCGGTCGCTGATCGGCACAGACCGTATCACAGAGGATATCTGAGTATAGAATTAACCACGCATGTTTTCGAGATAACACATAGTCGGACCGGGTGTGCCAATAATAGTCGCAAACTTACCTCTTCTGAGTCGTAGGCGAACAGTCATCAGTCGCGCACTGATGCCAGTTGCTTCACCCACCAGCTGGCCATTTAGGTGATCGGATATTGCAAATCCGACCCTATGTTCAGGGGGTTCTGAGGTCGCGTTGCCCACACAGTAGAACGTGTAGCCAGCACCTGCTTTTTGACACTTACCTTGTTCAGCGAGCCGGGTCTCATTGAGCGCCGCAATATCGATGTTGTGCCGCACCAATTCCATCGCGACCATTGCAGTGCATCGGTCGGGACGC